ATTTTTCAAAAGTATGTACTTTATTTGCATGTCAGATGCTGAATTTGGCATTATGCTTTATTTTGATTTTTTCTGTTTGTGTATTCATAAATGAAGAGACATCTGGGCTGGTTTTAAAATTTAGATGAAATAGAATGGATGGCTTCCCTTTACTTTTATTCATATCCACAGCAATGGTGATGTTTAGAACCTTTCAAGTAACAGTGTATCTTGGAAGAACTATTACATGCAAGCTTATGTTACTTATTGATCCAACAGTCTGATGGTAATAGGGAATAAAACGTAATCACAGGCTTACTAGTATATCTTTTTCTTGTCTGTGTTTGCTACAGTCACTATGCCTGGGTCACCCTTTCTGTAACATGCTTTCTCCTTTGCCATTGCTGCCACACTAGTTATAAGCTATGACAATGACCAGTCCTTTATTTTGTTGGATATTTTCCCTGCAGTTAAGTCTAAATTATACCAGCTTTTTGTATATCCACTACATTGGTCTTCCTTGCATCATCCTTTTTTAATTGCTGTGTGGAGGTGTACCAGTGATGTGCTTGACTGCCCCATGGCCAACCTTGTTAGAATTTTTCTAATTTAGGATAGGACGGTCGAGTGGTGTTTTGTCAGGGGTCATCTTTTAATTTCAATGGGTATTGTAGGTTACTACTTTCTAGTTTTGTTTATGTAGCTGTCACTACATCTAAATTCCTATTGTTGCCATCAGATTTCCTTATTACTTCAGTGTTAATCTGTGAAGAAGATGTTAGATACAATTGCTAAATTTAACTATGTTATTCAGATAGTAAAGCATTTTCTTCTTATGATTCTTCCATGTGGCCAGAAATTTCATTAATTACTTATAGTAACCCATTTCTTATTTTAAATCTTTAGGTAATTCTTTATAGTAGTGGGCACAGAATAAATTTTATTTTTACCTGAGTGGATTCATTAGTGATGTCACATAGTAAATTTTCTGCAACACTATAACTTAACATTTTAAGCATAACGTTAAAAATTAAGGGTCTTATTTTAAAAGTTAATTATTATTTCTTATTATAAAAGTGATATGAATTTATTATAGAATATTGATGATACAGAAAAATCTTACTAGACTAAGACACCCATCATTAACTTTTCCATGCACATATTTACACATTTAATGTAAAATTATAATCATTCTTTTCTTAAATTGATACATAATAATTGTACATTTTTATGAGGTAACATGTGATGTGTTGGTACACATATACATTGTGTAATGACCAAACCATGGTAATTAACATATCCATCACCTTAATCATTTGTCATTTCTTTGTGGTGAGAACATTCAAAATCCTCTCTTCTAGTTGTTTAAAATATACAATGCATTCTTTATTAGCTGTAGTCAGCATACTACGCAAAAGAGTAGCAGAACTTACTCCTTCTAGCTAACTGTAACATTGACTGATCTCTACCCATTTCCCCCTCCTCTTATTCTCCTCAGTTTTTGGTAACCACTATTCTACTCTCAACTTCTCTGAAATCAATTATTTTAGATTCCACATATGAGTGAGATCATGCAATATTTATCTTTCTGTGCCTGGGGTTATTATTTCACTTAACATATCTTCTAGGCTCATCCATGTTGTCCAAATGACAAGATTCTTTTTATTATGGCTGAAAAGCATTCCATCGTGTATATACACCATGTCTTTTCTAATCATCCATTGATGAGCATTTAGGTTGATTCCATATCTTGATTATTGTGAATACTGCCACAGTAAATATGGGAATACAAATGTCTCTTCAACAAACTGATTTCATTTCCTTTGGATATATAGTCAGTAGTGGGATCACTGGAACATATGGTAAATCTATTTTAAATTTTTTGAGGAATGTCCATACTGTTTTTCTCAATGGCTGCACAATTTACATTTTCAGCAACAGGGTATAAGTGTTCCCCTTTCTTCACATCTATACCAGCATTTGTTATTTTCTGTCTTTTTGATAATTGCCTTTCTAAGTGGGATGAAGTGCTATCTTATTGTGGTTTTGACCTGCAATTTTCTGATGGTTAGTGATGTTGGGCATTTTTTCATATAACTATTGGCCATTTATAGCTCATCCTTGGAGAAATGTCTATTCAGGACTTTTGTCCTTTTAAAAATCAGATTTTTTTTTTTTTTTTGCTATTGAGTTGTTTGAGCTCCTTATAATTTCTGGATAGTAACCCCCTGTCAGATGTACAATTCGCAAATATTTTCTTTCATTCCGTAGATTGTCTCTTCATTCCATCAATTGTTTAATTTGCTGTGTATAAACTTTTTAGTTTGATGTAGTTCCATTTGTTTAACTTTGCCTTCGTTGCTTGTACTTTTTGGGTTTTGTCTAAAAAATCTTTGCTCATGTAGCATTTCCTTTATGTACCCTTCTATTAGTTTCATAGTTTGAGTCTTACATTTAAACCTTTAATTTATTTTCAGTTGATTTTTGTATATGGTGAGATATAGGCATCTAGTTTTATTATTTTACTTGTGGTATCCAGTTTTCCCAGCACCATTTATTGAAGAGACTGTCCTTTCCCCATTGTGTGTTCCTGACACCTTCGTTGAAAATAGTAGGCTGTAAATAAATGGATTTATTTCTGGCATCTCTATTCTCTTCCATTGGTCTATGTGTCTGTTTTCATATCAATTCCATATTGTTTTGGTTACAATAGCTTCGTAGTATATTTTGAAATCAGGTAGTGTGATGACTCCAGCTTTGTTATTTTACTCAAGATTGCTTTGGCTATTTGGGGTCTTTTATGGTTCTCTGTGAATTTTAGTATTGTTTTTCTAGGGTTCTCTATGAATTTTAGAATGTTTTTTCTATTCCTGTGAAGAATATCATTGGAATTTTGACAGAGATTGCATTTACTCTGTAGATTGCTTTGGGTAGTACAGACATTGTCACAATGTTAATTCCTTTAATCCAGGAACATGAGATACCTTTTCCTCTATTTGTGGTCCTTTTCAATTTTTTTCATCTATGTTTTATTGTTTTCATTGTAGGGATTTAAACAATACTCCCCCTATTTTTGTCCCTAGCTGGCCTCAGGTGGTTCACTACAATTGTACTTGCAGTGCTCCCTGTGGGCTGATGCAAAAGCAAGTCTCTTGTGGAGGGAGGGACCCAGGATAGTAGGAAAGTTAAATGTCTTGCTCCAGCTTACTTTTTTCCATTGTAGAAACCGTGAGTCCAGGGGTACTTTCTGCGTGAGGTAATATAATGGCTTTGGGGGAGGGGCATAACAGCGATGGGAAACCAGTCCCTTTATCTTCCAACCACAGTTTTTCTTGTCCAAAGGGGCTTCACCACCTCACTTGTGTGTTCTGGTTTCCTTAACTCTCGTGGAGGTAATTTTTTTGCGTGGGTGGTTTCTCAAATTGATGTTTCTGCAGGGGTATGATTACTGGAGAGACCTAGTCCACTTTCTTGTTCCACTTCTTTGAATCTAAAATTGTGATCATTATAAATAAATTGTATTGTATTCTTGTTTCACTTTATTATGAACAATTTTCCCTTGTTATTAAATTTTCTCCTAATTGTTTCATAATATAATATAGAATTTTAAAACTATATATAATTTTTTTCAATTTCATAAAGAGGATGATTAGGAATATTTAACATTTTTCCATGATGAGTCCATATCACTTCTATACTATTTTATGACAGAGTTATGCCTCTAAAATTTTCTATAAAATATAGATATTTGATTTTACTCTTTTTATGTCTTCATTCTTTGATGTTAATGCATGTTGATGACTCTGTGGTAGCCTCTTGGGAAAGCTCTCTCCCTTTCCAATTTTATGTATACGGTAGGTACTTTTGCATGGCATTTAATATGTATTTCTTATTTTTATTCAAACTTCCTTATAATGTATTTGTTTCTGCCATTGATTAGCTGTGTGACTTTGGGTAGTTGCTTAACCCAGATTTCCTAATCTTAGGAATAGTACTAAACATAATCACTTCTATATAGTATTGCTTTGATGATTAAATGATACAATTCATGTGTACCACTTGGTACACCATGGCATAGTGTTTAATGTTTAAAAACCGATGCAATAACACACTGACCAATAAGAATAGATACAGGCCACAAACAACTGGCATCAGCTGAACATTGGCTTTCCTGGATTAAGTGAGACAGAACTCAATTAAATGCTAATTGCTATCTTAGTTGTAATTATGATGAAATGTGAAGGCGAAATGATGATGATGTTTGGGCAAGCAGTTAGCAAACTAAGTCAATATTATGCCCCAAACATGCACGAAGAACATTAGCTTTCATATATGAAGTTTATATCTAATCTGAAATTTTTGGATTTTGCTGTAATATTAACATTAAAACAAAGTAAAAGTGTCACTTATAAAGACATAGATCTTATGATTTAAATATGAATCTGTTTAGTTGAAATTCAAATAGAATTTCACTTAAGCTTTGAAACTTTTCTTGCCTAAAAAAGATACATGTTTATGCAAATTAATTTAAACATGATATTTTTGTTACTTTTGCTACTAATTTATTTTCTTGAAGTAAGGATATATTTCCACACAATTTTCTATATTTATTGATTCTTTGACTATGTATAAACATAATTAAGATGCATTTTAGCATGGCTTATTAAAGCTATATTATTCAGTCCTGTTCTTGTATAACTTAATAGAAATACCATTCACATGAATTTTTAAAGGAATATGTTAAAAAGTATTCCCTGTGTAGCTATAATTTTTATGGTTGACTTTATCTCTAACCTCTGCATTTTATAGAGGATAAGGTAAATATTAACAATAATTTATTGTGAATATTGTCTTACATTAATACTTTGAGCCACATGTGTTATTCACTAAAAAACTTGGGAAATGCCCTTTGGACTTTGCTATGATCCAAATTTTTAAAATAAATTCTTTGTTTCAATGGCTATTATACCTAATAAATTGTTATGTTAGATATTTGTAATACTGTTTACTGTTTTCTTTAGCTTGCCAGTGTAATGGACATAGCACTTGCATCAATAATAATGTGTGCGAACAGTGTAAAAATCTCACCACAGGAAAGCAATGTCAAGACTGCATGCCAGGTTATTATGGAGATCCAACCAATGGAGGACAGTGTACAGGTAACTATTTTAAAAAATTTTCAGTGTCTTTTTACTAAGGAAAATTAAATTGAGGAAGAGGTGACTCTTTTGGAGAATATATATTATTAAATAAAATTTTTTATTCAGTTTTAACATTTTTGGAAAATAATAGTTATTTGTTAGGAACTGTGAACTATAAAATTTCTGTGATATGTTGGCTTTAAAAATACTACTTTTTCTTATTTCAAATGAATGTATATTTATTAATATAGGAGATTTATGAAATGCAAATAAATAAAAGGAAAAATTATCTATAATTTCACTATTCAAAATAATAACTGCTGATTGTTATTTAAATAGTGGGTTATTGTTTTGACTTTAGAAATAAAAATAAGTAAAGGTTAATGGTGTGCATCTTGCATCAGGTAAGAATTTTTTTGGACAGGGTGGTGGTACAGAATAATGTTTAAGAGAATGAGTTTGGGATCAATTTTGGGCTGAAATCCCAATTCTGTCACTGTTCAAATGTATGACTTTGACTAATTAACTTAACCTCTCAGTGCCTCATTTTCCTCATATGTAAAAGGGAGATGTTCACACTTCCTTAGATTGTTGTAAAGATCAAATGAGATCATATTTAATATAGGCCTTAGGAATGTTACTGAACAAAACTAGGTCTGTCCTTGAGCAACAGACAGCCAAACACTGAAGCACCAGATTTTTGTAGAGTGAAAAGTTTGTTGCAAGGCTGCCAAGCAAGGAGACAGGAGTTGGGCTCAACTCTCCCTAAGCTCTGTCTGGGGCATGTTTTATAGGCAGAGGGTAATGAGATGTGATCTGATTGGGTGTTACAGTGAGGTAATGTTGGAGGTGTGATCTGACGGGATCCTGCCATGGATGATGCCAGAGCTCCATCTGATTGGATCACAGATCATGTCATGTGGTGTCCGCTTTTTAATTTGGTCCCCATTCCTTTGTCCGAGGACTTAGATTCTGCTTGTGGTTTCCTGCTTGTTCTAGCTGGGCATTCTCAGGTTATGTAACTCGTGATCTAGGGGTTTATGGCAACTGAAAAACAACTTTTATTCCACAAAGTTGAAACAGATTGGGCTGGTTCTGTGGTTACAAGAATTGAAGCACATAAAAAGAGCATTATACGTACTAGTCATAATCATCACTTTTTTTGTTCACTAAACTCTGTTTCTCTGTCTTCCTCTCTATTCTGTTGCTTCTTTCTCCTACTTTTTAAAGAATATTTGGCCTTTCTTTTAAATTTCTTTTTAAAATGGAATTTTTTAGTCATCCTTCTTTATCTCTAGATTGGACCTATCTTTTAAATTTTTTATCTACTTTTCTCTTAGTGGAGATTACCTATATATTACCCAGAGAAAAACCTCAGTTTTTGGCTGTGCAAAGGTGAGGAATTTTTAAAGGGGAATGTATCCCTTGCCCTGCTCCAGATAAATTTTTTAACAGTAGCTGCGTATTAGAATCACCTAGAGAGATTTAAAATATATAGATGTCTGAGCCATTCCCCAAAACAATTAAATCAGTGCCTGAGTTGTGGTTGTAGGATGAATCTTGGACAATGTTTTTTTTTTTTAAAGTTTCCCAAGTGAGTCTAATAGACACTGAGGGTTGAGACACATGGAGAATGATGAACTGAATACAACCTTTGAGTCAACAAAATTTCTCAGGCAATACAGCTGTCCCGTGATATCCGTGGCAGTTGGTTCCAGGACCCTCCATGGATACCAAAATCTGCAGATGCTCAAGTCCCTTATGTAAAATGGTATGGTATTCACATATAACCTATGCACATCCTCCTGTATACATTGTAGGTTTTCTTTTTTGATAGTATTCTTTATAAAACGAAAGTTTCAATTTTGATGAAATCTAATTTACCTATTTTTTTTTTGTTTCTTATACTTTTGGTGTTGTATCTAAGAATCCATTGCCAAATATAGTATTATAGTGATTATTTTAGTTTTTTGTCAACACAGGCAAAAGGAACATTTAAATGATTCTCCATTCTCTATTTATAAAATGTTTTAAATTAGTATGGTAGGTTTTATCATTCTGACAGGCAGAGTACTTTTAGAAATATTTTCCTTTTTGGGAATGAGACTTCTCTGCTAGTATTAAAACTAGTTTAGTTATTCCATAGTACTTTTTCTTACTGACATTATACATCTGGCAAGCTGAGGCACAAGGCAATGGAAAATTAAATACAATGAAAGATGCATGCCTATCTTATTCACTGTTGCACGTTCTCTAGTAGTTTATGAAACTTTAAATAATTCCAAATAGGTTCTATCTTTCCTAAAGTTGGCAAGATAATATTTGCTGTCTATGACTTTTATATAACTATGTGACATGTAAAAGTCATTTTTATTTTTTAGGACCACATTAGGTACCTAACTAAAGAAACAATATGTCACATATGATGACTTATTTTTAATGTAATAATGGTTAAATCAATTTGTAAAACATGGAAAGTATAAATTTATTACTATTTCTTTATCTTTAGTTCACCTTACTGAGAAAAGCTCATTGTTTTACTAGTAAATAAACTTATTAAAATTCAAAGTCCATGATATTAAGAGAAAGAAGGAAATAGATTTATATTTGAATTAGAAAGCTTTAAATATAATACAGATTTATATTTTATTTTAAAAAATCAACCTACTAAAGCCAATCTAAGACTGTTGCCAATTAATATTATATTGTAGAAATCTGGCTTGAAATGACAGGCCTCACGAATTATTTTATTTCTCATTAATGTCCAGGAAGATTCTATAATTAAAACCTTTCTCTGGAACTAATATATATATTATATATATAATATTACATGTAATATTATATATAATATTAAATAATATTATATTTATGTGTATGTAATCTCTGCAGGTATGGAAAAATATTACAATATTAAGATCTTGGGCTTTGGAATCATACAACTTGGGTCCATATGCTGGCCATGCCACTGTTACCTTGGGTAAATTATTTAACTTTTTAGTGTCTCAGTTTTTCCCTGAGACACTAATTAAATACAGCTAATTTAATTTATGGTGTCTTAGTGAGTCTTAAATGAGGTACTTTATATATGAAATAATATGTGTTTCTGGGAAATGTTAACTCCTCATTGCTAGTTATTGGGGGCAGAATTCTACCCTCTTCTGTTTCCACTGTGACAGGGTGGCACAGAGTTCCAATGCAATGTCCCCTACCCACTTTGCACTCCCTTCTCCCCCCAAGCACAGAGATTCTCTCTCCTGGCTGCATTGCCTCGGGTTGGGAAAGCTGTGGCGTAGGCAATGTAAGACTGTTTTTCCTATCTTCTTCAATGCCTCTTTCCTTGTTACTATGCTGAAACCAGGTACTTTGATCACTTTCCTGATATTTTGGTTCTCATGAAGGTGCATTCTTGTATGGATAGTTGTTCAGTTTTGTGCTCCTGAAAGGGGAAGATTGCTAGAGGGTTCTATTTGGCCATGTTGCTCCATCTCCCTCAAGCCAATTCTCCCTGGGAAGACTTTATAGAGGAGTTAATTCAGTAGGTGCTTGAGAGTTGAGAACCATTTACAAGCTTCAATTTTATGTTATTGTTATTAGTTGCATGTTTTCCATTATAATTTACTCTAAATATAAAACAACTGAGATATAATGTTATTAATCATAAATTTTTTATTATCTTTTCATATACGTATTTGTT